ATATATATATATATATATATATATATATATATATATATATATATATATATATATATATATATATATATATATATATATATATATATATATATATATATATATATATATATATACATTATATGTATATAAATATTTGTTTAGAGTTTTTTTATTCCCAGGCTCCAATAATCATCACAAAATTTTGCAAAGCATCTTTATTTACAGCTAATTTTTTCAAAAAAAAAATTTATTTTACATATTTATCAAAATCATGTTGATCAAGTCCATGCATGAAGACTTGAGTTTAAGCAAGAATTTAAAACTAACAAAAAAAAAACTCTTGTTTTATGCTTATTTCAAACCAGGGCCGTACCGTGAAATTTTTTAGGGGGGGGGAGGGTCGTTTTTGACAGTTTTAAAACACCAATTAAATATCTTACTAAATTTACTTAATAAAGTTTTGGTGAAACATAGCTATATTTGTGTATACTGCATAAATGTATTAGCAAGCTCCTTGTTAGAAAATGGGTATCGATACAAAGATTAATAATACTTTGATAAATAATTTAAATTTTTATTCAAAAACTAAACTTTTTTTCATACAATTTTCTAGGATGGAAAGTAAAAAACAATTTTGAGCCTTGTTTATAATCAAAAATTTCATTGTAGTGGTTTATTCATGGTGGCTAATGAACCAAGTCTATCTGCAGACATACTGGCTCTCAACCATGTTCTTAATCTTTGCATTGATTAAAAGCTGTGTTCACATTCTCCGGACGTTACGAATAATGTACATCCAACCTTTAGAAGCTCAAAGAGATTAGGGCGTTGATTTTCATTGCAGATTTTAATGGCTTTAGCTAGAGTATTATGCTTATCTTCAGGTTTATTAACAAACCTTTTTTTTTTTCCAAAACATGAATTTATAATCTACAGCTTCTGAGTTTGGAAAATCACTTTTATATATTTCAACTAACTCCTTGAATGCAGTTATCTCCTCACTGCAAATTATCGAGGGAACCAAGCATAAAACCTTAGCAGCAATGCAATTTGTCTTTTAGAATAGTATTTTGATTTCTAAAATGATGGTGTCGAGAAAAGGTATAATCAAGACCTGTTTATATTATTCATGGGGACTCTCTGCAGGTGCGTTATTTCTGTAGGCCTGTCTCATAGTGATTTTAGGAACCGTTTGTTCTACAAATAATTTACTTGCCATAAGACTAGCTTGTTGGTAAATTGCGTAAGTTTATTTTCAACATTTTTCCGTAGATTGTTCAAGTTGTCGATTGTTTCTTGAATGTTACTGTATGCATACACAATATCAGTAGTGCGCCCTTGTAACCTCCCTATTATAAACGACAACGGGTGAAGTAATGGGTACAAAGTTATAATACCATGAATTATGAATAATATTATGAATTCGAACTTAGTTAGTGCATTAAGGAGTAAGTTGGCCTTTCTTTTTCCTTGTGCATCCCAATCATTACTAAACTCGATACTGTTCTATATTAGAGTGTATTCCTAAAAAAATCTCTAATGCCTCTGCCATAAATGGTATAGCTAAATAAAAGTGTTCATATGCGGTATCTCTTTCTGACCATCTTGTTTTGCACATCCCTATCAAAATCTTTTTTCTTTCAGTTGATTTACAACGGATCTCTGCAACATGCTGCAGCAAGCGCTCTCTTTTCGGAGAGGTATTGAAATAAATAGATATATTTCTGTATACCTCCAAAATGTTATCAATAATTAGTATTTTTGATGTTTCAGCAGTTGATAAATTCAAATTATGTGAGCTACAAGGTGTAACAATTGCTTTTAGTGATCCTTTTAAAATATAGCTCGCGACACCTTTTTTTAGATTGCATGTTTAGTGCACCATCGAAACACTAGCCTCTACAAGAACTAAGATAAAATTCCACTTTCGCAATAAAATTTTCCCCAATATGATTGCCTGATATCCTGTCAAGATTCAAAAAGTCAAGAAATACTTCTCTAATTTCTTTTTCTCCGTTTACGTATCTTATACATAATGATAGAATTTGTTTGCAGTTGTTACCTCGTCTGCTGAAATTGAATGGTAATTTGCAGCTTTGGTTTCAATACATAGCCGCTCTTGTATACATTTCTTTCCAATTATATCAATTTATCCATTTTACTCTTGGGGCCAAGGTAGCTGACATCTTTGCGTAATGGTGCTTGTATATGTGCATTAAGTTCAGCGTTATGGAGAGCTATTTCTTGCACAATTGCAAGAAAGTTTTCAGGATTACCTTTATGGTCTGAGTTTTCCATACAAGTCCTTGTTTCCCCATCAAATGCATTATTCTACCTAATATTTTAACAATGTACGGGTATATTTTTTGCCGGTTTTTTAAAGTGCTATCGCTTTTTAATGGAATGGTTTTTCTTGGATCTTCAAAACAACAACAAATACCATTAGCTTGTTCAATAGGTTCTTTATGGTATCTATTGCCTATATGTAATTTTTGTTCCTCTAAAACATTGTATCATTCCTTATATCCACGGTTAACAAAAGCTCCCAAAGATTTTTTTTCATCCTGCTTTAGAAATAAAGTGCAGTATATGCAGTAAGCTGCGTCTTCGTATTTGCTGTAGGCAAATCCATTTTGTAAATAGTCTTCTTTAGAAGCGCGTTTGCAACCATGTTTTAATGTTTTGGGAAATTGAAAATGTATCTTGTGTTTTAAGTTATTCGTAAACATTTTGTATATTTCATGTGGTGATAATTCTTGATTTCTGTGCAAGAGTTCGTCAATATCATATCGATTTTCTTCTTCTTTAAAATCACATTTTTTAAAGTTGTTTGGTCTACTTCGCATGACAAGCTAACATTATTGTCATCTTTAATGACTTCCTGTTTTTCTTCTACCTCGAGTAATGTTTTATTGGTTACATTTTGAGAACTGTCGATAATAAAAAATACTTGAAGCCTAAGTAATTAATAATAAACTTTCAGATCTTAAACTATACCAAAACTAAAAAACTCGCGTAAACATTACAATGAAAAACAAGTAATAACAAAATTACTATCATAAAAAAATTTAACGTATAGATAATATTTATATCTAGTTAATATCTATATCTCGTTAATATCAAACTAATCAAACTAATTATTATAAAAAGAATAATAAAATAATTTTTTCACTTAAATATCCAGAGATTTGCATTTCTTTGCAGCATTTTGAAGCTCTTTTCTATCACCAGCTCGTTAACTCTATCGTTTGCTTTTAAAAGTGAATTAGTATTAGTAGAGAATTGTAATTACAGTATAAGCTCTGGACAGTGGTGGATTAAGACTTCTTGGGGCTGGGGGCTATTTTTGTTTTTGGAAGCCTTTTTATGGGCCAGAGGCTGAAAATGACTAAAAAAAAAAAAGACCTCTAAAATTGTTTCAAACATCAATAATACTTGTTTCAAACATCAATAATATAAGCTAATATACGATAATAAAAAACTATTGTTATTTCAAATTAAACTCTATACCAAAGTTCTTGTTTAAAAAAAATTTAGACATCTACATATAATTTAAAAAATATATACAAAAATAAAAAAATGTTTTATTTGTGCAAGAAATTATTCATCGATTTTTAACTACATTTATTATTATCATTTTCTCTTAAACACCCAGCCATAAAATTACAGGTAAATTAATTTATATTAAAAGTTACAAATTAAATTAAGGCCAGTCTTGGCTTTCCAAACATTTGTCTTTAATGCCAATAACTAGACTGACGAGACGGTTAGGTCTATTTTAAGAATATTCTCCTCTATCAATGTTTTAAATTTTTCTCTTTGTTCTTTTAAGTTCCATAATTGGAGCGCTTTTTTTAATATTGATACTGTAT